TTGAAGAGGATTTCACACAATCTGCCTACCTACCCCTTGAAAAACCATCTAGCTGCTCTGGACCACAACGGTCACATAGACAGGGAAACAAAAATAAAGAAAGATGGAAGTATAAAGTATACCAATATCATTAAAATTAGATGTTAGATCCGCTCCCAAACCTGCTACACTTACATCTAACTACATCTCATAGATGGTCACGTCAGAGATCAAATTCTATCAACCAAAACTTTGGTTTGGTTAAAACACAGTTTACTAGGAAGTTGACAGTAGATTTGTACAAACCAAATTTTTATCACAGTTTTTTCAGCAACTATCCTCATCACAGATACTTGGTGAAATACATTGTATAATTATATTGACATCCACTGAAAATTTTTCACTTTATTTCTTATGAAGACCATTGCCATTAATCAGTGCATGAACACCACTAATCAAGCCACGTGTGTAGATTTCTTGAACAATGGCTATTTGATCACTTCTACATACAATGGAATGCTCATCTTAAATAGAACTGTTAATATATTTTATTTTAATTTGAATTATTTTTAATACAGAAGTAAATATAAACAATTAAATGCTTTTTTGTTTCTTAGTAAGGGAATTAACGTCGCAGCTATTAAAGAAAGAAAAATTTACAAAACCCCCTTATGCGAGTTATGTATATTATCTGCAACAGCTGCGACATTAATTCTCGTACTAACAACCAAAGATAGCATTGTGATTTATTGATAGACTACTGGTTAGTTTATTATGTTCTTTTTGTCCTTTTCAGGCAGAGCATACAGCTGTCCTTGAATCGTACACTCTGATGGGAATCCTTTCAACAGCTATGCTAAACCTGAAAAAAAAATTTCTCCTGCAGCCTCGAAAGGGACAGGTTTAAAGTTAGGAAATGGGAAAATGTTTCACAACAACAGACAGCTAGGTTTAATGCCTTTGAATCAAAGAAGCATTTCAGAAGCTCCTGGTATTTTGGAACAAAAAATTGGAAAGATCATATTAGTTTGGCTTAACTGTAAGGTTTTTTTTACATTCCAGATTTGCAATCAGCATAAGAAAATAATGATTTGTTAGAGAGCTTCATGTCAAGTGAAGTTGTTGGTGTTATTGACACCCTTTTTTTCTTCAAGATGGCGTAATTTTCATGCAGTCTGGGCTTATATAAAGCCTTTTTACTACCAAAATGATTATAATTTGAGTGCTTAATGACATTTTAGTGTGTACCAAGACTATGTAAATTTTATTCCACCTTCCATGCTTGAAAAAAGACGAAATGACTTTCTTATAACGCATAATATCGTTCCCTATTTTAGAATTTACAATACATGTATTATCGCCATAGCGAGAAACCAAATTTTAAAACTTGTAGCAGCTGTTCTATTCCCTCACTCCTATTTTGGTAAGCCTGAATAACCAAAAAAAAAATATTTAAAGCCTTCAATAAGTGAAACAATCCTTCAATGAGCGAGATTAAGTCGTCCTCTTGGCGCAGTGGTTTGAGCGTCTGCTTTAGAATCGCGAAGTAAGGATTTATCCTTACGTCGCGGATAATCGAATCACACAGCTGTGTAGCGTGGAAAACAGTCCCTTCAATGAGACTGTAATAACCGATGTCCCATGTCGCAGTAGGTGCTGGCACTAAAAAGTCCCTCACTGTTTAATATAATGATACAATGGGAATGGCCGGAAATTTATGATGAAGAGAGAGGTGTAGTTGTGTTTGGAGGGTTGCTTATTGAAATGACAGTTTTCAAAATCCTTGGTGATTTGTTGAAAGGAAGTCGCCGTGTGACAGCATTATCTGAAGCAGACATTGCATCTTTTGGAACTACTGAGTCTTTCTTAACAGTTTCCAATCTAGCTAAAACAAAGCAAGCTCATCAGATTACTACCTGTTGTCTGTATAACTTGAATAAAAATGGCATACTAAAATGCAAAGGAACTTGATAATTGTGATGAAATAGATGAACTTTCTTGTTTTGGTGCTCAGTTCACAATTTAAATTTTGGTCAAGAATTTTAAATTTTGAACTCCTTATTCTCTCCTTTGTAAAGTCTCAAATTGAATCAGATTTTAGGCTTTACGAGGAGTCTTTATCAGATCTGATTCCATAGTTTTTGCCCTAGATCACATCAGTTATGCTAGATGGCTACTAAGTCACCTTCGGGATATGCTTGCATTGCAAACAAAGCACCCGGACATATACCAAGAATTTGGAAAACGAAACTTTACCGTTAGAAAGACAAATAGCAAGTTTTCAAATATTGCCATTGACCAAGCCCATGAGCAGAACAATGCTATTGTAAAAAGTGATAGTGGCACGATAGGCTTGACTGAAGATCCAGCTGCTTTAAGGCGCTGGATGGTGGCAGGTCCAGAGATCAGCGCACGTTGTCAAGTTCACAGTAGTATGTGGAAATGTTCATGACAAGAAGGAAAAACATCACGAAGAAATTCATGCTCCTCAGAAGAATTTTTTTTAGCAAAAGTGTATCAGCTTTTGAATACTACTACTGATATTTTGTGTACTTACAAAGTCAAGCTCTCCATTTAAAGAAAAAAGCAGCACTTTTCAAGTTAAGGAACATATCCTTTATTTATATTTTAAAAGATGGTAAAGATTTATTTATTGTATGACCTTGCGAAAAAACGATTTAATTAAAAAATAAGATATCATTTTTAGAGTTGCATTGGGGTATGACATGAAGTCGGTCACGTGATCAAATTCTATAACGCCCGAAGGGCGTTATAGTAGATTTAATCACGTACCGACTTCATGTCATACCCCAATGAAACTCTAAAAAATTATATTTTATTTCTTATATTTATATTTTACGTTTTCATTCATTTTACAAACAAATATAGGCATTATTTAGACTTAGATTTTGAAATGCAACGTAACGTTACTACGACGTTATGTGACGTCACAGTCGGAACTTTTCAAATTGCACGTGCAGTTTGCTTTCCATACGCAAGAAAGTCTGATCATGTGACCGACTGCATGTCATCGAAAATTGAATGTCATATTTTTTAGTATTGTCATATAAGGAAAGACATTGGCAAATGTAAATATTGATGCATCTTGATGTAAAATATACCTAACCTGAACATAAAAACACGACAAAATTATTAAAATACAATCTCTTTATATTTAACAAAGGCTATACATTGGTGTTTATAGCTTTTATTTAAAACCTGTAAATAATATTCTGTTTCATAATAAAACGCAGTTTTCGTTGTTAAAAAAATCCTCAGTCTGCCTCTCACATGAAATACGTCATTCTTACCAAAATGACGTCACGGTAAAAATGAAGTCATGATTGACAAGTTAATCAAGATCAGTGATTAGTTTATAACCAGGGGGTTTAACAAGCAACTTTTTAATGCATTGATAAGTTATATCGTTGTTTATAATGCTAATAAAGTTAAAAGTTGCAAATTATTTCATTTTCTGGTATTATGAGGAATCCATTAAAAGTCGTATTTTTGTGTGACGTCACAGTAAACTTTTCCCGTATAAATTAGGCCCCGCCTCCTTTCTTCAGCCTTATGCGTTGGTCCCACTCTACACCCGGGGGCTATGATTTGAACAAACTTGAATCTACATGTATACTACCGGAGGATGCTTCCATATTTTAATTATGACCAATTGTCACAATCAATATTTAATTATAATTGTTTTTACATTATGTTTACGGTTTTTATTTTATTTACCCTTTACTGGACCTCTTCTTATATTATTGTTACACTTATTGAACCTCAGTTAAGTTTTGCAGGCATTGGTCAGTTACGACCTATTGTGTAGAGGGTATTTAAATCGCTGCATAGCTGACCAAGTAGCCGGGGTCCACGTTTTCATAGATTTTTTACATGCCATGCTTGAGGTACTACAAGATGTGTAGATAAGTAGTTATCAACGGTAACCATTTCTCCATAAGGGGTAGGTTTGTTTTTTATTTTATATGTAAGTTTTTGAGTAATACATTTGAAAGTAGAACTATTTAAGAATTTGAATTATAATGTTTTTCGTTACTGTTTACGTATACAGTTTTGCTAGGTAGAGTTACTCATGCGTGTATTTTCTATTTTTGTGCAATGTACTAAGTTATGTACGCACGTAGGCTATTTTGTTTTGCCGCTTATAAAGTCGGTGTTGTGGATTTAATAGTTAAAACCACTTTTGTTAAGATGTTGTGTATTCTTAACGTTTTCCTTATTATAATAGTGTTCGGTTAGAATTACCGGTACTGTTTTGTATGGTGTGCCATAAGTGCAACTGTGGTCAATGTTGACGTGTTATTTTTAGTATACGTAACTTGCGACTTAAAATATTATTTAATTTAAAGGTTCCAGAGATATTCCAGAGATATTCCAGACATTTTCCAGCCATATTCTATCTATAAGGGCCATTTTGTGTGGACACGTGGTACCAGCGTTACCTGGAGCCAGTTGGCGGGAGTCCGTCGTGAAACGGGGAGAGTCAGGACGCGGTCGCGTGGTACACAGGAATTGATATGGATATTAAGACTTTAAGTGATATTTATTATAGATATTTTTGTAAAAAATATGTTGTAAATATTGTTTTTTTATTGATTTTATTTATAGATAAAAAATTGTAAATAGAAAAAAAAAATCTTGTTGTTGTCTGACTGAACAGAGCACGACGGCTGTCGTGACAAATTGGTGTCAGAAGTGGGATTAGTCTGTTCAGTCAAGAGTGATTTTTATATTACAATTATGTTATTTTTGTTTAATCATTTTTTGTTGTATTTTGCAGTCAAAGAGTTTGTAGATTTTTGACAGTCTCATGATGTCAGTACTTGGTTTATGGATGGAGCCCCAAATGGAGAAAGCTAAGTTACCGTTGAGTTCGTTGAGTCCGTTGAGTTGCGTTGCTTTGTTTGAATTGAGTTTGTATACTTAATTTATCTGTTGAGATACTAGTATACACATTTGTGAGAAAGATTTTTCGCATTTTATTTTTGTTTTGAAAATCAATGTTGTTTTACTGGGTTGTGGTAATATTTTACATATTTAGTCAGTTAGTGTTTAGTTCTATTACAATTTCAACATTGAAAGAACTTGCAGAATATGGACAGAGTCTAAACTTGACTGGTGCGGATTTGCAGCAGTTTATACAGCAACAGCAGGCACATCAGCGTGAGCTACGAGCAGCTGAACGGGAGAAAGAGAAGCAGGATAGGGAGTATCATCTCAGTAAAGAAGCACTTGAAATTGAGAAACTCAAACTACAGGAAAAGAAAGGTATGGAAGAGATTGAGAGTAAATTCATGCAAACTATTCAAACTTTAGAGCAAAAGTTAGCTGTAAAGGAGTCAGAAACGAAATCAGAAAATTCTAGCAATGCAAAGTTTCCAAAAATGCCTGTATTCGATGAAGTTAAGGATGATATTGATTCTTATTTGAGACGCTTTGAAAGGTATGCTGCAGCACAGAAATGGAAGTTGGACAGTTGGGCTGTTAACTTGAGCGCACTACTCAGAGGTCGTGCACTGGATGTGTATGCACTGTTGCCGCAGGAGAAAGCGTTGGACTATGACGCTTTGAAGACGGCGTTACTAAACAGGTTTGAAAAGACGGAGGATGGATTTCGTCAAAAGTTCCGTAAAAGCAGACCTGAGGTAGGGGAAACTTTTTCACAGTTTGTTGTTCGTCTCGGTAGTTATCTCGATAGGTGGATCGAACTTGGTCGAGTTAACAAGACGTTTGATGGCCTCTACGATATGATACTCAGGGATCAGTTTCTGTTTATGTGTAACAAAGAATTGACATTGTTTTTGAAAGAACGCATACCGAAAAACATCAGGATCGAAGAACACTGTGTGGTTAAATCTCTTATCCAATGGTTAACTTTTAACCATTGGTTAAAATCTGTTGCTCAAAATATATCCACCGGTTAACTTTGCTATCCAGTGGTTAAATATTGGCTAAAGTTAGCCATTCCACAGAGGTGGGTTAAGTCTCTTAACCAGTGGATAAATATGACTAAAAATTATGATTTGTTGTAAATTTTGGGAGATAACATAGGAAACAAAGGCTTATAGATATTGTAACCAAGAATTTAATGTTGATGAATATTTAAAAAGACATATGCAGTAATATAAAGTCAAGTTGACATGGTTTTGTAGCAATATTAGGCAGGAATAACATCACAGTCAGGAATATGATAGGTTTTTATGTCTTCATCGTCAGCAGGAATGTTTTAAATGGGTTCTTTCAAGGATTAATCTGCTGGCATTACAAAGGATCTTATCAAGCGGCCTTCCCTTGCTGAAAAATAAATGATTATTATAGGTATATTTTATATAACAATTATAAATGAATAAATTTGTTGGTCATTTGCATGTTATAGGTCTATTAATGGATATAAATAAATTGTTACTTTGGTTAACATACATCAATATTTAAAATCACATTGAGAATTGACATCCCCCCTCCCTCCCCCCCCCAACCAACACACATACATACACACACACACACCCCTCTGGTTCCTCTACCCCCCACCCTTTTTTAAAAAAAATATCTTGTATTATTTATTTGTTTTTGTATTTCAAAATAATATTAGTTATCATTTCCTTGACGATATTTTTTATCTGCCTATTTTATTAAACTACTTTTCTTGTTGACTGCTGCATTAAATAAAATGCCTACCATTTCCTTTGATTTTATTATCATTTTGGCATGGTCTCGTGAGATACAGTGAATTAAAATATTTATTCAAAATAAATCTAGCATTAAATTTTTAATATCTATCCATAGGCATCGGGATTTCTTTTTTTTTTTTGCAAAGATAGACTTTATAAAGGCATTGAACAAATTGGGGTTACCTTTTTTGGTTAGTTTAGCCCCCCCCCCCCCCACCCCCACCCCAACCCACATTCAATTAGCCACTCCACTTTCAAAATGCTTCCGATGCAAATGCTATTGATATCCACATAGAGTTTTTTTGGGTCTAATTTCTACTTATATTGATGCTAATATTAAAAGGTTATGTATTTATAGAATACACTTGGGATAGTGCATTTTTATGTTCACCGCAAAATTTAATTGTATTGAATTGCATTAGTGACGAACTCGCTATATCTACTTGTATATTCGACCATGACCTTTCGGTAGAAAAAAAAAATGCTACCCACTTTCAGACAGTGTTAGTACATTGTAATGCAGGATATAAATGTGCTGAAAGTTATTTCTTGTTTGGAAATATTTGACAAACCACTGAACGAGATCCAAGGTATGTATAAAAGCAATAATTCAACAAGTGCGAATTTCCTCGAAAATAGGTATCATTTATCGTGTCTACCAGTCAGATAAACATCAGAATTTATTAAACGTTTTACACAGCTAATTGTACCAAAGAAATATAGCTAATTGTCTTTAAAATATTGCTCATTTAACGAATCTATTATGACAGGTCACACTAGGTACTTACCAGTGGTGCTACAGCCTAGTAAAGTCCTTGTTAACAGAATTTTATTGGCCGGGAATTTTAAGCAAAGCGGACGTACGTCGATTCTGCAGATCAAAATGTTTGACATAACTGTCAACGTATTTTCCACTCCGAAAGGCAGGAACTACAAAGGTACCACTCTTAGATATGCCTATCATTTTTTTTTTGGTACCGTTCAACGTGTAGCTGTCGACTTGGTAGGACCTATCCAGCCAGCAACCAGTAAGGGTAATCGTTACATTTTGACTATTGTTGACTTTGCTACCCGTTACCCAGAGGCAATTGCTTTAAAGGAATTGACACTGAACGAGTCGCTGAGGCTCTGGTAGATGTATTTTGTAGAGTAGGAGTACCGAAGGAAATGCTCACAGATATGGGGTCACAATTTACATCCGAGCTGATGACAGAGGTTAGTCGTCTACTTTCTAGACGACAGTTAACAACGACACCGTACCACCCCATGTGCAATGGACTGGTCCACATAGCGGTTCAACGGTACATTGAAGCAGATACTCCGACGGTTATGTGAATGTTGTACTGATTGGGATAAGGAATCTATCAAAGCCTCATTGTTTGCTTGGACCTTTTATTCCTTTACAAACACATCGAGATTTTCAATGGCGTTTCGATGGACCTTGTTTCATTGGTTTACGGATCTCGAAGTTACCTGAGGACCTAAATGAAGATTTTGTGAGAGAGTTGTGACACTGGTTGTAAAGAAGTGTAGATTCAGAGGTTAGATAGATGATGTTCATACCAGTATGTTGTTGATTTGAAGGAACGACTAGAAGCTACGTGCAGATTTGCGCGAGAGAAAATACAGAAGTCTTTGTGGGTGAAATACGCCATTGTATGTCATCGGCATCCCCAACAAGAGATCCAAAGGATCCGGATAGAAATAAGATTTTTTTTTATAATTATGTAACATTAATAAATCGGAAAAGTCAAGCATAAAACTTTTGTTATAATTTATTGACATGTCTATTGACTTCAAGGTAGCACAGGATTTATACTACATGAAGCACTTCTCTTTGGTAGGAAAAGACACCACGTGGTATCATTCGTATATTAAGAAAATCATTTATCTTAATGAAAAAGAATGGTAAACGTTTTACAAAGCTAGTTGTACCAAAGAAATATAATTTCAATTTGTAATAATAATTATGTAAAAACATCTAAAGTCTGAATTTTATGAAAAGTGCTCGATTCTGCAGATCATGCGACATCTGTCAACGTATCACAGAAATAATTATTCAGATATGCCTATCTTTCTTCAGACGTGTAGCTGTCGAACCTTCCAGCCAGCAACCAGTAAATTTTTTTGACATTTTGTTCTACCTGTTATCCAGAGGCAATTGCTTTAAAGGAATTAATTCCCGTAAACCATACGCTCTGGTAGATGTATTTTCTAAAAACAATAGAATAAGAACTTTAGATAGAAACAAAAATTAATCCGTTTCAAAGTGTGCGAGGTTAGTGTTGAACTTTTGCAGTTAACTTATTTGTTACCAACGACATGTGCAATGGCTGGTCGGCGGTTCAAGGTACAACACCCTCCGACTGTTATAATTTCACTGATTGGGAAAGTTGTTCATTGTATATGCACCATACCTTATTCATTTGAATTGGTTTACGGACACATTAGAATCACAAGATTTTCAGAGAGTTCTAAATGCTTTTAAACTCCATACCAGTATGTGTTTGTTTGAAGGAACATGAAGCTACTTGCAGTTTCAGAATTCACTCTGCTACTGCATGATCAACAGTTATGACGTCAAAAGGTGAGAAAGTTTGGTATTTTACCAACGGTAATAACAAATTACAAATGCAATGAAAGGTCCATATGAAATTATAGAGAGACAAAATTCTGATTGTATTATGCAAAACATTTCATATTTTGATTAATTTTTACAGAGAAAACTAATGATGAATCTAGGTGTTGTAGATATCGATGATATAGAGAGCGAATGAGCTGTTGTGTGATCTCCAGGAGAAACTTCACGTCATATAAGTTTACTATGACGCAGATGTCAAGAGATATAGGCAGATGTTTTATCAGATATTTTGACGTTGTAACCTTCAACCTACCTGCGTTACCTCTGCCGTTTATTACAAAAGACGTTGTTTGTGCAGGTAAGGAAGATGGTGGAAGCCGAATGTCAAAAGGTGAGAAAGTTCTTATTCTTTTACCAAGGCAAGTAACAAATTACAAATGCAATGGAAAGGTTTTGTATGAAATTATAGAGAGATTAAAAAGTTGTTTTCGACAGAATTAACGTGATGATAATGTAAACATTATCTGCAAATATGTTCCAAATTGTACATTGACAGAGAAAACAATTACCTGATGATGCACAGGAGATCACCGCTTTCCAAACGCCACTTGGTTTGTTTCAATTCAGGGTGATGATTTGGAGAGAAGTTTCAGTCGCCTGATGCGTAAGCTCTTAGATGGAATGCAGTGTGTGGATAACTTTATAGACGATGTGATTGTGTACACTCGGACATTTCAGGAACATGTCAGTGTGATTCGGGAACTTTTGAAAAGACTTCGTGCGGCGAATTTGACTGTGAAACCAAGTAAGTGCTTTATTGGTTACCGGAGTCTTGAGAGTCTCGGACATATTGCAGGAGATGAAGAACTTAGACCTCTTCCTGACAAAGTTTCCGCTATTCACAACTTTACCCAACCTTTAACGAAGAAGCAAGTGCGATCATTTTTAGGTCTGGTAGGATTTTATCGTAAATTCATTCCGAATTTTTCAGCTATTGCTTCGCCTTTAACAGATCTTACCAAGAAAGGCCAGCCGAACAAAGTGATTTGGAGAGAACCTCAGGAAAATGCATTCATCACTCTCAAGAACGCTTTAACGGTAACACCAGTTCTCAAACTACCTGATTTAAATGAAAGCTTTGTTTTACAGACTAATGCGTCAGATCGTGGTGTTGGGGCAGTTTTGATGCAGTACGAAGATGGTGTGAAAAAACCTGTCGCATACGCTAGCAAGAAACTTTCCAAATGTCAGGTAAATTACTCTACAATCGAGAAAGAGTGCTATGCGATAATCTGGGCAGTTCAAAAGTTCCACAGGTATTTGTATGGTAAGGAATTCCTACTAGAAACAGATCATCAACCACTAGTATATCTTACCAAAGCCAAAGTGTCTAATGCACGTCTGATGCGCTGGGCATTACTTCTGACACCCTACCGGTTTCGCATTATTTCCATCAAGGGTTCTGAAAATGTAGGAGCTGATTGTCTAAGCAGAATTTAGATATGTAGATATTTATGTATAGTTGATTTTATGCCATTATTGATTGTGTTTTTTCAAAAGTTCGTTGAACTTTCTTATGTTGGGGAGATATTGTCACAATCAATATTTAATTATAATTGTTTTTACATTATGTTTACGGTTTTTATTTTATTTACCCTTTACTGGACCTCTTCTT